CCCAAAACCCCAAAACCCCAAAACCCCAAAACCCCAAAACCCCAAAACCCCTCGTCGATGAACTGTATAACATTCAAATTATAAATTACAGATATGAAATAAAAGAAATATATTTATAAAAGCAATGGATAAGTATAAAATTATCAAGACGCTAGGAGATGGTACTTACGGTTCCGTCGTATAGGCTTCAAACAAGCAATCGCAAGAAATAGTTGCTATCAAGAAAATGAAGAAAAAGTTTTACTCATGGGAAGAGTGTATGGCCCTTAGAGAAATCAAATCGCTAAGGAAGCTAAATCAAATAAATATTGTGAAACTGAAAGAAGTAATAAGAGTAAACGATGACTTGTATTTCGTATTTGAGTACATGGAACAGAATGTCTATCAATTAATGAAAGACAGGACTACTAATTTCCCAGAGAGTTAAATTAAAGCAGTAATGTATCAAACTTTGCTAGGGCTTGCATATATGCACAAGCATGGTTTCTTTCATAGAGATCTCAAACCTGAAAACTTACTTGTTAAGGGAGAGGCTGTTAAAATCGCAGATTTCGGACTTGCCAGAGAGATCAGATCTCGTCCGCCATTTACTGACTATGTTAGTACTAGGTGGTATAGAGCACCTGAAATTTTGCTGAGATCTACTAATTACAACTCTCCAGTTGATATTTTTGCTTGTGGTGCTATTATGGCTGAACTATACATGCTAAGACCATTGTTCCCTGGTAATAATGAAACTGACTAAATTTATAAAACTTGCGCAGTTCTTGGAAGTCCTACTCAAGCTTAATGGGCAGAGGGCTATAAATTAGCCACAAGAATTGGATTTACTTTTCCCAAGTTTGTCCCTACTTCCCTTAGCTAGCTCATCCCTAATGCCTCTGATTAAGCAATAGACTTGATGTTGAAGATGATGATTTTTGATCCATAGAAAAGACCAACTGCTTAGTAATGTCTGTAACATCCCTACTTTGAAGGATTTACTTATAACCCAGCAGCAAATCCATCACTTCCAGGAGCAAATTCATCAAATAAAAACTTCTTCAATCCAAATAATGACATAAATAAACCAACATCAAACAGTAAAAGAATAGAATCGAGAAAGGGAATTTTATCTCGAAAGGATGATGTGAATAAAAACAACTACTATATATAAAAGGGGAGAGCCCCTGACCATTTACCAAATAAACCTACAGTACTCGGTAGCGGAGGTGGGGCTGGTGATAATGTTCCTCAAGGATACTTCAATAAATAACCTCTAGGCAGTGGGATAAGCAGTAGTGGTGGTGTGAATCTGCCGCAACTTAGTAATCCATACGTGAACTCAGTTGCTTAGAATTCAGCAGTAGCCTAGAACAGAAATAAAAGTTTGCCATAATACTAAGGCTATAAATATGGTGGAATAGGTGGAGGAGGAGCTGGAAGTGGCATTGGAGATAACGCCTACTCATCTAATAATGAGTAGAGTATACAAGGTGCCTAAGGTAGTGGAGTCAATCTCCCAAGAATATAAAGCAGAGGAGCAGCATTGAATAATAATATCCCAAACTCAAGAGGAAGTGGATTAGCACAATATGGTGCATAATAGATACCTAAATACGGAGCTGGTGCTGGTCTGAATTATAGTGGCTCTCAAGGAGGTAACTAATCAATACCATAAATAGGCTCTTACAAATATGGCTCAGGAAGTGGAATAGGAGGAGGAGCAGGTTCCTTGGGTGGAGGCATTGCAGGAGGAGGATTTTCAAATATTCCTAAATATTCAAACTCGGGTATAGCAGGCAGCATTGGGTAGCTAAATCCGATAGGTAGTTCGTCCAATAGTAATAACAACGATGGCAAATAATTTTGATCATTCACAAAGCACTTATATATCTTTTATCCCTATATATTTAATTCCCTTATAAATTCTTCAATTAAAAACAATTAAATAATAATTTATTTAATCATTATGTCGAAAAACTAAGACAAAGGTCAAAGAAGACAGATGAATGCTGTTGAGGTAACTATAATTTGAAGATAAAATACTTACTTTAGGTTAATGCATGCTGGGTTGAAGCTATTAAGAATGAAAACAAGGGCAGATTACTCAATGAAAACTTTGATTTCAACCCCAAAAATCGTAATACTTCCACTATTATTTATAAATTCCTAACAGTTATTGTGTTATCTGAAAAACCTACCCAAAACAGAGTGTACTTTGGTGGTCATCCTACTGATACTGAGAAAGAAATGGCTGAGTTAAAGACTAAACTTGACACTCTAACCTCTGTTCCTAAGAAGAAGTATCCTTTCGCAATGACAAGCAACTAAGAAATCGGTTGGGATAATGATGAAGTAAGTTCATAGTTGGTGTATGATTTTTATTATAGACTTTCGATTAATTCAAACCAAAAAACCCTTACAATAAAAAGTCCTGTCCTGAGACCAAGTATGCATCAGACTATGTAACCATGACAAAGAGATCTCCTTATGCAAACAAGAGACAAGAATGAATAAGAAATTGAGTGATTCAATTTACTGTTAAGGCAAAAAAGCTTCTATATTAGAGATATTAACTTTAAATACTTTAACATGAATTAAATAAAATATTCTTCAAAATAAATTATCAAAGGTACCATCTTCAATCTACTCTATATCTATATTGTTTTTCTATTTCTTAGCTTTCTGCTTATTTTCATCACCATCTGCCTATTTAGATTTTGCTCTATTTTTATGTTTCCTCGTTTTGATATGCTCTTGCCATTGATATGAACCATTAAGCTCTTAATTACACTTTTCACAAAAAGTCTTACTCCAATTTTCTAATTTTTCATTCTTTGTCTTTATCTATTCTAAGCAATATGATTTCAGGAATAAAGTAATATTTTCCTCAGATAATCCCTGTACCCAATTAAATTTACTATCTATAAACTTAAGTGCTGATTCAAGAGCTATTTCTTCATAATCCTTCGGATCATCTAGCTATATCTTTAAAATCATATTCCTATCTTCCTCCAAGTGGCAGCCAAAATCATTCATGATTCTTTTATTAAGCCACTTAATTTAATAAACAGTATATTGTATGGTCCTTAAGGCCAACTAAGATTTATTACTTTCTAATTCTTTCAAATCTATTTCATCTAGATTTGAAATTTCTTTAATCAACTCTGAGATTTCTTTAGACTCCTTCAAAGTTTTGAGATATTTATAGAATGGATAGAATTCCTTGTAGCCAATAGCCTGGAGGATTCCCTTCTCAAAATTCAAATCAGTCATAATTTTATGAAATTAGTCAAAGAGCGAAAATATTTCATTTAAACCTCCCATTTGATCAATCATCTAGTTTATTCTTTTCCTAATTCTCTATTCCAATATATCAGATCTAGCAGACATCCAAATAAATAATGGGATAAATCTTAATTTAGTATTGCTAGTGCTGGCAGTTGATAATGAGCCTATTTTTTAAGGCAGGAATTTATAATATTTGAAGAGAGCATTAATGACTCTTCGCTTGTCTTTAGTATGTAGAAACTCTGCCATTCTTGGGTCAACTTGTTTCAATAGATCATGTATCAACTCAGATTCATATTAATCCTCAATTACCTGCTTTTAATCAGAGGGTATACAAGTTTTTAATGATTCTAATAATTAATGGAATCTTTCTTCTTTTGTTGCTTTTTCATTCTCAAAACAGGTATCGAATTGATTTTAATCATAAATAAATTCTTCTACCTCTCTCTCATAGACTAAACTTTCTATGTAGTAATTGGTACCACCAACTACGATTGGAATCTTTCCTCTTGCTTGAATATCTCTTATGCACTCTAAAGCCATATCTCTGTACTTATTGACATTGAAATCCTGGGTATAAATGTTGACAACATCAAACATGTGATGCTTGACTATTAATTTTTCCTCAGGGGTAGGTTTGGCTGTCATTATACCTTCATTACCATCATATATTTACATAGAATCAGCATTTACTATCTCACCATTTAATTTTTAAGCAAGGTCCAAAGCTAGTTTAGATTTCCCAACTCCTGTAGTTCCAATTACAAAGATTACTATTTGCTTATGCACCTTGTTTGTTATTTAATTTAACTATAATCCTTCCATTATTATAATTTTAAACAGATTAATCTTTTTTTAATACTTATTTTGTCCAATTATGAAAATGTTTTTAATATATGATCCATGGGGTTTTGGGGTTTTGGGGTTTTGGGGTTTTGGGG